TGGTAATAGGTCTCTGCTAGGTTGGTTCATCACATTTGTTCCGTGTCAAGTCACTTCAGAGTGTTTTTCACTAAGGCAGCTTGCAGGTATGCAGTTGTCACTGCCCTCATGGCTCATATCTGGATATTTCTGTGCCCTTTCTGAACACACTGATGATCTCTTCCCATTAGTTTGCTTTCTTTCAAAACATGACACAGAATCACAGAATGGCCAGGGTTGAAAGGGACCTCAAGGATCACAAATCTCCACCCCCCTGCCACATGCAGGGCCACCAACCTCCACATTTCACAGCAGCCCAGGCTGCCCAGGGCCCCATCCAACCTGGCCTTGAACACCTCCAGGGATGGACGGGGCATCCACAGCCTCTCTGGGCAGCTGTTCCAGCACCTCACCACTCTCTCTGTAAAGAACTTTCCCCTGACATCCAACATAAATCTTCCCTCCTTCAACTTAAAACCATTTCCCCTTGTCCTGCAGTTATCTACCCTTTCGAAGAGTTGACTCCCCTCCTGTTTTAGGCTCCCTTTAGGTACTGAAGGCTGCAATGAGGTCACCCCACAGCCTTCTTTTCTCCAGGCTGAATAAGCCCAGCTCCCTCAGCCTGTCTTTATATTGGAGGTGCTCCATTCCCCTGATCATCTTTGTGGCCTCCTCTGGACCCTCTCCAACAGCTCCCTGTCTTTCTTCTACCAGCACGGTAACTGCCTAAATCTTTATCTACTCTACTTTGAAGTCAAACAAACAGAACAAAGCTATGAAGTTGAATGGTACCAAGATCTTTACATAAGGCAGGTGCAAAAATAATTGGTACATATTGCCGCACTGGATAAGGAAACCCTCTGATTAAGAGCAGAAGATGTAAAGGTAGTCACATTCAGTATTTAAACAACTTGGTTAACTCAGACAGGAAATTGTCCATTTGACATTAAAATGAACAGCAAAAACAATCTCCTGCTTCACTAAGCACAGTTGGATCTAGATTTCTTCGGCACAGTTCTTCCAGGTGGCAGTTGTTATGCTTGCATATCATTTCTGTCTGGTAGGAAACATTCAAATAAGTCAAAGTTTGAAAAACAACCATATGCTTGCTAAACGGAAAACAACCATCTGCTTTTGCTCGCTTATACATTGCTCTTACTTGCCATCCAGCTTCTGACAACTCAGTTTATGCCCACATAGTTCACAAGCAGGTTGTGCACAGCAGAATCGCGTTCCCTTGTTTAATACAACACAGTTGAATCTTTAGGAACAAACAAACAAAAAACCCCCAAAAAACTAGGTTGGATGTCAGATGGAAGTTCTTTACTATGAGAGTGGTGAGGTGCTGGAACAGCTGCCCAGAGAGGCTGTGATGCCCCGTCCATCCCTGGAGGTGTTCAAGGCCAGGTTGGATGGGGCCCTGGGCAGCCTGGGCTGCTGTGAAATGTGGAGGTTGGTGGCCCTGCATGTTGCAGGGGGTTGGAGATTCATGATCCTTGAGGTCCCTTTCAACCCTGGCCATTCTGTGATTCTGTGATTTACTCTCTGTCCAAGGAGATCAATAAAACAAGCAGCCCTAGTCTTCCATTGCAAGTTAAAGCTTAGTAGGAAACATCAACTAGAAAACCTTTCTGACAGACTCCTTGTGCTAAGGATGGGTGCTTGCATGTACTGGTCCCTGCTCCTGTTCTTAGATGCATAGCTCAGAAAGAACTGCACATTTTTTGTAGGAAAAATAAAGCAAAGGGCTACAGTGATTGACTCCATCCTCTTCAAAATGCTTTGCAAATATGAAAAAAAGAATATGCTTGGATTCTTTTAAAAGAAAACGGATATGAAAGCCAAGAGGAGCATAAAACTAGCTCAAAAAAGAAAGAGTATTAGCTTGCTCAAAAAATAACAACAGAAGTAGCAGCAACTACTTACTGAATGGTAGAGAAACAGCAACAGCCTTTAGTTTCTAAAAGTGGCTTTTGCAGGCTTATCAAGAACATAAAATGTCTCATGATGAAAAAAAAACATGCTGGGGAAGGCTCTTATTTCAAAGAATTGAGAGCAAAATGTTGCAGCAAAGCAACCAAGGCTCAGCTGTGGATAATTTTGGCAAGAAGGAAGAGATTGCCCTTCACCAGATGGCTAGGTATAAAATAACAGGAGTGGGATCCTATCAGAAAGTCGAGGGAGGGAAATAAAGAAGTTCTGCTGTTAATCAAATGTTTGTGGGCCACTCTGGCAACTGTGTTTTTTTTCTAAATGGTAGCTGATATTTGGGGGTTACATTTCTTTAAGATGGGGAAGCATGTTAGAGAAAACCATCGTTCCAGAATTTTCAGAATTCTGGCATTGTTGTTTCAGATACTTGAAAATAGCTACAGAGCCTGCATTTTGCTAATTAACATTGTAAAAGCCTTTCTTTTTCAACAGATTTGTATCTGTGCTCAAATAAAATTCCCATCTCTCCATTTTGCTCACAAATGGGGCATTCCTTTAATTAAGTGAAGTGGAGGCAATTGTATGCTTGTAGCTCTGTGATAGAGTGGCAATTACAAGTAATATTCAGAGAATTACGACCATTTGAAAGCCATGCCTACTTTGTTCTAGTCCTTCCTATCCATTCTACTCAACAAAAAAAAGCAGAAGACTAGCATATCAAATGGGGAAGGAAGGAAAAGATTTATTACAGTTCTGACTCTGTATTTTCCCAAAGGAAATTATAACTATCAGGTACCCAGCTGATTCTTATAATGCAATTTTCTTGCTGTTGGAAGCTGCCTGTTGGTTAAATAAATATGATATATGTGGACAAAATTGTACTTCCCTGGCATGACAGAAAATTTCTATCTGAGATAGAAAGGCAGATTTGTCATGGTCTTAGAAAAACTTTGAACAAGAAAAGCCATACTTCTGGCCCCATTTTAACGATTATTTATCTTGTATTATGTGGCAATCGTGTCATGAGAACTTACTTTGGAATGCAGTTCCAAACTGACGCTTGCTTAGGACAGTGTTGATTTCTGTACAGAAGTAATGGGGCTATACTTGAAAATAAGGTTCTGCGATTTGCTTAATAAAGAAATCTCTACCAATTGTTAGCATGCCATCAACTATAAGCACATTAATTTAAATCTAAAGAAAATCCAAGCAACTGATTTCTTACTCCTCTCATGCAAATACTTTTGAGTATTTGAATATGTCTACATCAAAAGAAACTAGATTTTTAGAGAGCCAGTTAGCTTGAGTTGCCAAGTCAATGAGTTCTGGTAAGGTCAGTCTGTCACAACAGATCTGATTATTACACAGTTATTTTCTTTATGTTTGCAGGTTTCTCCATATGCTTTAAGATGGAAAGGGTAGTGGGATAATGCCCTTCTGCTGAATTTGCTTGTAATATGCATTCTTTCTTACTTTGAGTGAAGAATGTTGTGAGAGGGGCAGAGTACAGATGGTCAATTTTTAAGTTGGTGCCTGTATGACCTGTTTAATCTGCATAATTAGAAAATAGGAAAATTGTCTATGATGCTTGTGCTGACTTCATTTCTAGGTCTTTTTGAGCTCATTTAAAGTATGGTAACGAGAAAAACATTTTACCTTTGGGCAGCAATCTGATTTGTCAGGAAATTCCTCTTTCTGTGATGGGTGGATGAGGAAAATCTGAAATAATGTGATCCAGATGTTGAAGCTTCCATTTAGCAGCAATATATATGTATTATTTTATGGAATTGTCCAGACCTTAAAGTATTAATAATAAATGAAGACTGGAATTTTCAACTGTAGGAATAGATTCGTATCTTTCATCCACATGACAGAATATTTCTGCGTTTCAGCTAGAGGCTAAAAGTATGAAAATTAACAGCAAGACAAACATAACACTTAATAAGGAATTTTGAAACAGTTAATGCAAATGCATGCTAATTGGCCTGTTTATAGGACTACCCAGCAGAAGGCAGTGATACCATTTTTCAGCTAATTAGGACTCCATTTTAGAGCAAACGTTGTAACAAAGCTCTAATATAGATTTGTATGAGAAAGCAGCAAATTTACTGAAAATTTATTCTATTCTCTCTGCAGCTTACACAATGACAACCTACCAGGAAAAATGAAAAAGGAAACTGCAGTATGTAGGCATATCACAGAAGGATTGTGCTGGAGAACCGCAAGGCAGGCAACAGGGAACATTTGGTAGCTTTGGGTGAGTTAAATTCATCCCATCAGCTCTGTCTTGTTTTTTCATTCTACAGACTTTCATCAACAGCAGTCATTCCAGCTGCTGTTGAGCCTGGAGATGCATACCGAAGAGTCTGAATTTATTCCTTAAATCTACATCTGGATTTAAATAAATACCTCAGTAGAAGTTCAACCTATTCAACATAACATTGGCATTTCGGGCCACTCTGCAAAACACACAGGATCTGTGCAACTGGAATTGTGGTTTATTTACCCATAACATTTACAGTGCTTGGATTTAATTTATCCTTCAGATGGGCATCTTCTGGTAAAACTGGGACTAGAAATTGATAAGATTTCTTCTTCAATAGGTTTTTCTTTGACTGTACTGGAATTGTTCCTGGCTGGTCTCTTCACCAGACATCTCAACAAATGAAATCCGAATTGTTGGAGCTTCAGGTTGTCTTACTTCTTGATTCTTATTAATCACATAGTCAGCTTGCAACTTGTATTTACGATATTATGATAGGAAGGGAAAAGCCTGAAACTTTATTCAGCCACCGCACTCATTCATTGAATCTCTTAATACTGAAACTTAATGTTTCAAGTGTGATAATGACTGTTGCTGGGGGGAAAAGGAAAAGGAAAAGGAAAAAAAGAAAAAAAAGAAAAAGGAAAAGGAAAAGGAAAAGGAAAAGGAAAAGGAAAAAAAAGAAAAAAAAGAAAAAAGAAAAAAGAAAAATAAAAAGAAAAAAGAAAAAAGAAATAACTTAAATCTTCAGTTTGAGGGAAGCAGGAGCTAACTGTACTACGAATCTTGTTGATATTTAGTTCTGGTATTCTGGTCAAGAATAAACTCACTGTGGCTTTGTGATAGGGTCAAGATTGACAGCTCCATGGATTTTGATGCGACACTGCTTTTTTAGGGACTGTACAATGGAGCGATGCACAGCGATTTTGCAGAGATCTCTTTTATCCGCACAGCTTCCACCATTGGTGTGAGTACTAGGGATCATCATTTTGGATACCACTTGCAAAGACTAGAAGTGAGTTCCTGAATTTTTGAGTTCCTGGACTTGTGAGAAAAAGACCTACTGGATACTCTGGCAGACAACTAACTTTTTCCCTTAAGGAGAGCAGCTCTTGTGCCACAGACAAACTGTCAAACTCTCTTGCTGAAGGAACAGGGATTATTCAGCCTGGAGAAGAGGAGGCACAGGGGATGCCTTATCACTTTCAATAGCTCCCTGAAAGGAGGCAGTGGCAAGGTGGGGGTCAGCCTCTTTTCCTAGGTACAGGATAGGATGAGAGGTAATTTCCTCAGGATGTGCCAGGGGAGGATTCAGACTGGATATTAGAAACTTTTATTCTGAGAAAGAGCGATAAGGCACTGGCACAGGCTGTCCAGAGAGGCGGTGGTGTCACCATCCCTGGAGGTGTTCAAGAAACGTGGAGTTACAGCACTGAGGGACATAGGTTAGTGGGCATGATGGGGATTGGCTGATAGTCAGACTACAAGATTTTACAGGCCTTTTCCAACCTTGATGATTCCATGATCTTATCATTAGAAGTTTGGCCTTAATTAATTACTAGCCTGTGAAATATACCAGAGTTTCCAACAGGTGGTTCCCTGCAGACAAGAGATTACAAAATTTCCTAACCGTCATGGCAAGACAGGTTCACAAAAGAATCTTCTTGCAAAAGAATCTTGTTCTCCTCTCCTTTTTATAGTTGCTTATTGAGTAGTTCTTCTTCTGTAGTTCTTATGTAGTTCTGTCTTCCCTTTCCTCTTATGTCTCAGTTTGTCAAAATCAAGCAGACAGTTGCAAAAGATCTTGAAACTACAGTAAGATTTAATTATCACTTGGTAATAATCCTGGCACTAGTAAATGGAGATGACTGTAGCCATTTCCCCACGATTCATATCTTTGACATCTTTTAGACTGTAGTTGTGAACACTTGATGCTAATCAAATATTTTGATGTTTTTTCACTTTTTTTTCTTGTTAACCCAATCTTGACAGTTTTACAACATCATTGGCTTAATAAGAAATTTGTCCAGTGGCATCTGTTCAGTCTGTGAGCAGAAAATATTTGTGGATACAAATGAGGAAGGGATGACTGAAAATACCCACCAGCTGTCCTGTAATCATACGTATCCTTTTCGTGTGATTATGGAAATGTCATTTTCTCCTCTTTTAAGCTGCATTAAAAAGTAATCACAACAGTAATAAATACCAAGGAAAAAAGAAAGCCCCCACATTCAGAAAGAATAAGACAGAAAAGTAAAAATCAGACTATGAAATATATTTCAGTTCTGTGACAAATTGAGTCCATGCCGTTCTTTGACAGATAAACTGAAGCAAGAATGGCAATAACCCTGGAGTTGCATACCCAGATCTACCTTTCAGATACTTCATGCCTGACTATATTCTGGGGCAGCTCCAGCAAAACAGGCACGCTGACCCCTCAGCCAGGTCTTCTAGCTCAGGATCCTACGCACTGCGAAGGATTTCCCATCTATGCCTGGGTCTGTGTGTGACAAGTAGTTTTAAGGCAGGTGTGGAAGCCTCCCCAAAGGATGGCACAGTTGTAGCCTATAGCCTAGCAGAATACGCAGTGGCTGATTCTCAGGGGTCCAAACAGCCCATCATTGTGCACTCCAGAAAACAAGAAAGGCACAGCATTTGTGCTGGAACACTGTCACTAATCACTTCCTCCTGCAGAGCATAAGTCTTCTGGTTTCCTGTGTGCTGGAAAATGACTACTGGTCTGGATGTTCAGAACTTTGCTTTTTCTAACTATTCTAAATGTTTTAAGCCATTTGAAACTGCTGGGTTTTCAAACAAGGCAGTATCCATAATCAGCCATAAAAATTTTCTGTGGATGGTTTGAATACATTTTCAGATTGATGTTCTAAGCCTTGTTTACATTTGAAGGATTTATTGAAAATACACCTGATACCAGGTTTCATGGATTATGCATCTGTGGTTGGTTCAGAGTTGGCAAGAAACAGACTTGCCCATGCTGCGCCAAAAGGCTTGATTTGAAGATGGCGTTGAGTTACCCATATCCTTTCCCTAACAAGTGTGCTTTCGATTTGAATTTTCTAAACTGTGGCCTGATTACTTGCTAATTCTTGTTTTGATCTGCAGTGGAGGGATGAGATGGCCACATCAAATGAATGGAAAAACAATTATTATTAAAGAGCAATTATACTTAGGGAAGATGATAGTTTGTTTGGCTTTATCTTATGTAAAATCCAAGCAAGCTAAAAAAAAAAAAAAAGTATATTTATATCTTTCTCCTTGATTTTAAGACATTCTTAAATAATTTATATAATGAGAGGAGTGTTTTAAAGTATGTAAAGTATGTAAAGTTTTACGACTATGCAGTGGCTTTTGTTCTTTAAATAATGAGATTGGTATAACCCACTTTCAGAACAAGTGCTATTTTTCCCCTCCTCTTAGTAAACTACATTTTTTCTCCAGCATAAGAAATATCTGTTGAAGATTTGCTGCAGTATCTGTAGAAAACTGCTTGAGTTAAAATAATTTTTTTAAAGTCCATTTTTGTGACTTCACAGTATGTGAGGAGGATATTTAAATTTAATCTTACTCCTCCAAAAAAAAAGAAGTGAAGACAATTCAAAACATTAACCCAATACTTTCTCTTTGACTTCAGCTAAGGAAGACACCAAGATTTACCTACTGGTGATTTTTATCTCCAATTTCCTTAACAACAGATTAGGTGGGAACATATATTACATGGGCTGACTCTGTAACCAGTTGTAAGCATAGTCCTATACATTAATTACTTCCTGTATCTGGAACAGAAGTCAGAAATTAGTGAGAATGCAGTGTTGGATATTTTCCTGTGCACTGCCCTATGCATATTTCATGCTTAATTGTAAAAAAGACCAGACAAAGTAGCTTTTGGTAAGCTGGTTGGTACAATTCTGCTGTGCTATGTACCCTTTTGCAAGATCGGCTCTCTTTCCACATTACAGAAGGACTTTACAGCATATTAGGAAGGCATTTTTTAAAGAAATTGCTGCGTTTAATGAGAAGATTGTGCTAGAAAAAAAGTACTTATTTTCTTATTATACCCATTAAAAAAAAAAAAAGGAAGTGCCAATATTTAAAGTTTGTTTCATTGTTAAATACCTTGCTAGTGACTTCTAGTTAAAATTTTTACAACAGGAAGTTGTGTAGCAGATAAGAAGAATTTTAAGTCAGATAATGGCTTTGTATACATCAAAGTCTGAAACATAGCACCCAAATAGTTTCATCATCTTATTAATGTAAGGTAATGTAAGATTACTTTTAGATTTTTTTTCTTTTTTTTCCCCTTGCCTCTTACAAGAGCTGCTGTACTGTAATTCCTACATATCCCAATGTCCACTTGGAGAAAGACCTAATTGCAGTAATGTTCATTATATGCTTGGTAGTCACATAGAACTCTCTGCGGAGGAAAAGCCACCTGAAATTTTGGCAAATATTTCCTGTTGCAGAGGTAGCTGGAGGTATGTGTCTGTTGGTAGAGGAAATGCTGGTCTAACTGCTTGTACTGTGAAGGCAGTGGAGGATGCGGAAGACTTTTCTCTTTCGGCCTTTGCACATACACTTGTTTTGATGTTCAGTTAGTTATGGGCTGCATTAACTTCTAATAATTGAGCCCCTTACCCTTTTTTACTAAGTGCATGTTCAGAATTAGAACATGTGATATTCACTGACTTTAAGGACAAATCATTTTGCCTGCTCTATTTCTGAACTGCTTGTAGCATCCAAAGTGATTTCCTCCTTATTTAAACTAAAATACAGTAGAATTAGATTAAGTGTTAGGAAGGAATTCTTTACTCAGAGAACA